CGGCAGGGGTGATTGGTATCGATATATAATTACCCGGCTAGTAATCGATATATATCGGTCTATTTTTTTTGCTGATGATACCAAATGTATAAAATATTATCAAGGTTGACTTTTTTTAACTACAAAATATATAATAAAGAAATGGCAAACTTTACTTTGTCTTTAGAAAATGATGATTTGCATTTAAATTCTGATATTAATACGAATGAGGTTAGTTACTGAAAATATTACTATACTATATCATAAATATTATTATTAATTTATATTTATTATACTATACATATAAAATATTTTCAAGGTTGACTTTTTTAACTGTGAAATATATGATAAAGAAATGATAAACTTTACTTCGTTTTTAGAAAATGATGAATTGCATTTTAATTCTGATATTAATATAAATGAGGTTAGTTACTGAAAGAATATTACTGTATTATATCATAAAACATTATTATTAATTTATATTAACCGGACGATCATTTAACCAAAATTTCCCACTAAAAGAAAAACAGTTTTGTTGGAGAGTTGTGGCCTAATATAGCGGTTTGTCTAGAGGTCAACGTTTGCTGTATACGGGACTCCTCTATAAGATATTTGGTATGCAAGCCAAGAGCGTTATTGTACAAGATAACTGGCAAGAGGTGGCACTCTTGTATGAAAAATCTTGGTGGAGAGATGAATGCCAAAAGAGCCTCTGGTCTTCTTCGTCGACGAAGCTCTTAGATTGTTACTTCAAAGAAGAATACAGGGGAAACAACAAATATTGTTTTTCAAGCCGCACTCCTTTTACTTGGTTAAGTGGTTCCTTCTCTATCTCTTCTCGCCTCCTTGCCGGTCTTCCAAAAATTTTCAACAAAAAGTGAGGATTTGGTTTACCTCCTCCAAAAGATCGGCATTGTTTACATCTCAATTTGAAACAGCATAGTAGACTACAACCACGTGTTCGACGAATACGGTGCTACTATTTAGAATCGGGCCCCAGGCAACAACTCCTAGTGATGGCAGCAGGTGGCTTGAGATACGGGTCTTTGGACGGCGGCAGTACCTGGCTTGAAATACAAATTAGGACGGGCTAAACGAAACTATTCGGAGTTAGTCAGAAAGAAAATCGAACGATAAGTCGAAGCTTTACTAAAGAGATATACAACTGTTGTAGTTGTTATATAATTTTTTAGTAGCCATGTATGGGTTATAATAGTGCCTTTAGGATTTTAGTTTTCTTTTTATGTTTTTTCTTTTTCACAATCAGTATTTTCTTTTTCTTTTCTGTTTTTTCATTTTTTGGTCGTTTTTATAAAATCTTTTTGTTAAAAATTTTCCCCTTTTGTCTCGTGCCCCTTGAGAAGAAGGAAGAATTAGAAGGGAAAAAGGGATCCTGACGTGGTATACAACAACCTGTCAATGATTTGTGGGGGGTATCCATTGTACGATACAAAATTCAAAGTAAGTTTTGAATCCCAGAAGAGACTAATAGTTGTTATAGCAGGTCACATTGGGCATTATGCTTGGTGAGTCTTTATTAGATTAGAACAGTAATACAAAAGATGTTATATGAGTGCTTGTTTGTATAAATTTTTTGTAGTTCACATGAGTAAAGGCAGGATCGCTTAAAAAAAAAAAAAAAAAAATTTATATTAACCATACTATATATAAAATATTGTCAAGGTTGACTTTTTTAACCATGAAATATATAATAAAGAAATAACAAACTTTACATCGGTTTTAGAAAATAATAATTTGCATTTTAATCCTGATATTAATATGAATAAGGTTTGTTACTAAAAAATATTATTGTATTATATTATAAACATTATATTAATTTATCTAAAAATTATATAGCTTGTTTTAGAATCTTCACTTATGGGAAAAATAGCACAAATTTTACCTGCAAATTATTCATATGTAATAAATAAATTACATGAAAACGTTCCATTAATTATTGAAGAAAATATTAAGATAGACCAAATAGTTACTTCATTTTTAGTAAATGTTAATTCTGCTAAAGGTGTATATACTTGGCTTGAGGATTTTTAGAAAAAAACAAAAACCACAATGCGTCAAACAAGAGGTTATATTCTCAAAGGTCAATGGGTTATTTTTTGTGAAGCAAGACACTGCATACATAGTAATATAGTTAAAAAAAAACAAGGAAAAAATATTAAAGTTAAAAGAATGAATAGTGAACATTTGAGAGATACTGGTTGCTTGGCAACAATTGAATTACATATAGAAAAATGTCATTTAACAAGATCACATCCTCTTGAAGTTTCTCTTAACTTTACGCATAACCATGTACCTATTTCAGCAATATCATTAAGCTTTCGTTCTGTAAATATGCAAACAGATGAAGAATATTTACAATTGTTTCAATGTGGATATATATCATCAACAGCTCATTATGAATATGAAGAAAAGCTACATTTATCAGCTAATAATGAAGAAAATTTAGCAATTATATTGGCTGATCGTGCAGTAAATCCTAACCTTGGATATGTTACAAATCTCTATAAAAAATTTCGCACATCTCAACTTGGAGCACGAAATGGAATTGATATGTTTGAACATCTTGAAAGTAAAGTTGAAAAGTATAATAGATCTGGATATGGAAAAGCAGTTTTTCAACCATTTGACAAACAAAAAAAGCAACCATTTATTTTATGTATTGTTAGTAATTTAATGCAAAGAATACATAAAAATATTCGACAAGCAGGAGATATATGTTATATAGATGCATCATCATTATTTGATTCATTAAATACTTCTTTAACTTTGCTATATATGAGCTGTGCTATAGGTGTATTACCTTTGGGAATTATCTTAACATCAGATGAGTCAGAGAATACACTAAAGCTTGTATTTAATCTTTTAAAACAATTTTATCTACTAAAGCATTTTACAATAGAGGACCCGAAATTGAACTATATATAGTAATTACAGATGATTTCAATGCAGAGAAAAATGCACTTCGATATTGTTAGAGTAATACAAAAACTCTTCTTTGTATTTTTCATGTACTTCAAGCATTCTGGCGATGGTTATGGAATGCTAATAACCATATTCTTAAGAATGATCGGTTATCTATAATGGAGCATATGAAATCTATGATATATACATCAACTGAGACTGAATTGGTATTTTTATTTGAAAATTTGCAACAACAATATTTTATAAAGTATTCAAATCTTGCTACTTATATTACTCATTCTTGGAATCGTTGACAAGATTGGACACTTTTTTTTCGTATTGGTTTGCCAACACATAGAAATTATACTAATAATTATGTAGAAAAAAGTTTTGGGTTATTGAAAGATATAGTTTTTAGAAGAACACAGGCTTATAACATAGTTCAGATTTTTTATTTTATTATCAATAACTTAGAACACTTCTATGAACGGCGTCTTTTAGCAATATCAAACCAGCATCCCGGAAGAATGCATATTACTAAAAGATTTTTAAGTTACAAACAAGAAAAAATTAACTTTGAAAGTATTCAGCATAGAGAAGATAGTATTACATTCGATGTATCTAGTACTTCAAAGATTGGGGTTATATATATAGTTGATCCGACTATTGGGATTTGTTCATGCTTTACTGGTATTTCAGATGCTCTATACAAACATCAAGCTGCTATCGCTGTAAAATTTCAAAAAGGAACAAATAATTTTATTAATACACTTACTATCGATAATCACATGAATTTTTTTTATATTGCAACGAGTAAGTATTATTATATATTATTTTTATTTAAATATTAATATATGTATTATATTTAATTTATATTTTAAACTATATTTAGGTTCCATAGTTCGAGAAAGATTATTTTATGCTTCTTTGCATCATTAAACATTATCTAAAAATAATACTTTTAATCAGTCAAAAATTCAAAAATCTGAAACATTATTGGAATTTATGCCAAATTCTGAAGCTGTTATAGGTGAAGAAACTATGTATATATAGTATATTAAATTATCATAAAACAATTTAATATTTTAATTAATTTGCTTATAGTTTTACAGAAGACACTGATACCAATGAAGAATTAGACCGCATTGAATCTCTATCTAGTTTCTTTCATGAAACCGAAAGTGATATCAAGCAAAACACACAACTACTTACAGCTTTTGAAAAATTTCAAAAAGAATATCAAAATGCAAAAAACCTTTCAAAAAATAAACTAGTTTCATTTATTTATTAGTATACAAATAATTCTGCAACAATTTGAAGTGGTAAAAGAATACCTGTTTAAGTATCATCAGTACAACGGAGAAAAAGAACTACAAGGAAACAGGCTTTGAAAATACAACCATTAGATAAGGAGAATGAAGATCCAAGTGAAATGCCAGCAAGAAAAAAAAGAAAAATTGCATGAAAGCCACATAATTTAGCACAAAACATTGCAGAAAATAAAACCAATTGATTTTTAATTAGTCGCTGTTTTTTTTATTTTATCAAAACTTGGTGCTAATACATATTTTTTGTTATGTATAATGAAAACTCTTGGTTCAAATATAACTGCATACTATATATATACAAAATCTGTATAATCTAGATTTGTGTTTTGAATTTCTATATAAATATACAGTATATTGAAATACGTACATGTGTCAATAGTTTATGCTTTAAAAGATCCAGTTTGTACTGATATTGTCGTGATTATCTTTGTATTATTTTTCTACACCTTAAGCATGTATAATTTTCAACGTTTAGAAAACCTTCACTGGTAAAAAATAAAAATTCGATGTGTCTATTCGAATGCCATTCAGCATACTATTTCAATATGCCATTAAACTTATCACATGACTTATCGGATATTCATGTCCGCGAAGTCATTTGATAAGTTGAATAACGCATTAAATGGCATGTTGAATGGTATTTGAATAGTGCCATTCGACACATCGAACTACTAGTGCTTAACACTTATAACAATTTATGTAACCTTTTAAAATATTATCCTTTCTGTCTATTGTTATGTTAATCTTATATGTTAGATTAATATACTTGTCTATATATTCTAAATTCATAGCTGTAATTATTTGTCAAAAAAATTCACAATCAGGTGATCGCCAATTTTTCTGAAAAAATTTGGCCGCAGCTTTTTTTATAGGCACCTAAGTTTTGAATGAAGATTACTCAGCTCTTACCTGATTAAATTTGATCAAAATTTTTTTATTTTAATTCTATTAATTTATAGAATTAAAATAAAAAAAAATTAGCTAAATTTGATCAGATAACTGCTGAGTAATCTTCGTTCAAAACTTGGGCACCTATAAAAAACAAGCTGCAGCCAAATTTTTCTGTAACTTTTAATGAATATTTTTCGATGACCTCCTATACAAATCTGATTAATCTTTTTCTTAGTTTAATTCTATTAATCCATAGAACTAAAATAAAAAAAATTGATCAAATTTGCTTATTTGGTTGTTGAGAAAACTTTGTTTAAAGTTTAAACAAAGAAAAATTTACCGATTTGTTTTTTTAAAGATATTTTAAGTATTTTAAAACTTTTATGATGGTTACTCAATAACCACTGAGTAAAATTCAATGAACTTTGTTTATTTTAATTCTACAAAACTATAGAATTAAAATAAAATAAATTTTAATAGATTTGATTAATTAGTTATTAAGAAATCATTGCTAGAATTTTTAAAAAATCTTCAAATTTATTAATAGGATTTACATGTTAGAAATTAGTAGAACATGATCGATAATAAATGTTACATGATCAATATCATGCATAACCTAGCACAGATTTTGTGAATGCGTGGCAGACAGAGAGCTGCATGAATTCGCGCTTATTCAGTGGTATAAAATTAAAATTAATTAAGCAATATGACTGCATCCCAATAGAATGTATAGATAAAACCATTCATATAGTTCCGAGATTTGATAAAAAAAAAATAAAAATTTAGCAAACATTTTCATGTTTTAATATTTAAAGCGTATATTTTTTAAAATAATTACGAAAGTCAAAAGTATTAAATATTGTACTACAATAAATTAATAATGGAGGTTATATAAGCTATAAATAACAATGTAACACTAAATATCATTATAAGCTATAAATCGATAAATATCAAATTATCATATATATATACTAGCAAAAATATAATATCGATATGTATTGTTTTTTTTCAATACCCGATATATCGCTAAAATACTATCGATATATATCGATTATTTAATATGTGACGATTTATTTCCTTTGAAGATAAAATTCGATCGTGAAGATATATATTACTCTATACCAACTATTGTTTAATATTGATAATTATATAGAAGCTAGACAGTGATATATATCAAACTAATGATATATATCAATAATATATTTTACTATATATAATGTTAGTTTGATATATATCGATATTTATCTATTTATGATATCTATCATTTGTCAGATATATATTACATTTTTATATATTTATTAATATATATCAATAATTTCTAATCGATATATATCGATTTGTTGCTATATATCGATATATTTCTATTATAAAAATTTTCTGATGAAGTTAAATTATTAATTTTGTAAATTTTACAAATTTAATATATAGATAATTAATATAATTATTTAAAAAAATTTAAAAAATTATATTATTTTGTGTATATGCACTATAACGCACCTCATAAGATCAGGTGTAATGTAAAATCAAAACAATAAATTAATTCGTTAGTTAAGGGTTAGGGTGAGGGTTAGGTTAGGGTTAGGGTAGAGTGCTTTAATAAAAAGGTTTTAACCCAAAATTTTGCAAGTAATTTTTTCTGTTAGAGCATGAAGAGAGATTTCATAAGCAAAATTATGAGCTACAAGTGATTTTTTAAAAGATCGCTATTTTTTTGATTTCACGTTACACCTGATCTTAAATTCTGATTGGT